GGGGTGGGTCACTGCGAGAGATGTCCTCGCGAGAAGTGGCAGTGGCCGATTCGACATCTGAGAATAACCTCCTCGCGCCTTAAGCCACGAGATGACGAAGACCTCAGTTAAATAGTTCCTGATCCTCGAGAGGTTGAAATAGAGTTCTGTCACTTTACACAGAATGCAACGTTCGATAAAAACTTAGTGTCAAGCGAAGGTACTACCATAGAAATGGCTATCTCTGGTTTACTAAGGCAAACTTTGTTATCAGGCCAGCTGTCTTATTTCCAATTATTTCCACGCTGCCCGGAACACAGGAAAAAAATTAAAATGAGAGAGACTTAAAAGATCGATGACTAGATCGAAGAGAAGAAAAGAAGAAAAGATCGAAGAGACTATTCGATGCATATGATCTGTATGTATTGAAAAAATCTCTAGGTAAAATGCAGTAGTGGGACGGTGTCAGGAAAATTCTCGATGTTTACAATTTTTGATTTTTTAGATTTAGATTAACTCAAGTTTGCATTGATATAATGCACGGTGGCAAACACGATTACAATTAGAATTAGAACAATTACAAAACTATTACGAACATTTACAATTAGAATTAGAGGTTTATATCCTAGTACTAGTTAATTTCTAGTTATCTTTAAATTGATTTCTAGTTTCTCTAACACCACTGCACTACACTTCACTTTATAAGGGACATGGCAATAATAATAATAATAATAATAATAATAAGAAGAAGAAGAAGAAGAAGAAGAAGAAGGCGAAGAAGAAGGCGAAGAAGAAGAAGAAAAGGCGAAGAAGAAGACGAAGAAGAAGACGAAGAAGAAGACGAAGAAGAAGACGAAGAAGAAGTAAAAGAAGTAGAACAAGAAATGTCTCAGTATTATTAGTGATGATCTAGATGGGATTAAGCATATTTTTAAATTTGACCACTTTAGAAGGAAGAGCCTCTAGTGCAGCGTTTGCCAACTGGCGAAGAAATGACGTCAGAGTTCCGTTCTCCTCTCTGGGCGCCGGCTCGGAGAAGCGGTGCGAGCAAAGGGGGGCGTGTGGGAGGGGCAGACGGAGTTTGCGGATTACGAAAACCAGTGGGCTTTGCCAATGTTTCTGGAAATATGAGTGGGAGACCATCTATATCCGTCAATTTTCTTTTTGTTTGGGCAGAAAGATTTCCTTTTGTAAATACCGAAAAAATGAAGTGCTTATTGTATTTGAAAGAACTTCAGTATGTTAAAGAGCTCAACCGACAGAGGCAATACGCAGCTTTGCAACTCAGGAAAATCCGCGAGATGAAAATTATTGAGAATATGCAGATAGCCAGCAATCATGAAATGAGAAAAAGATTTTGCAAATAGAAGATAATGGAAAAGGAATTGAAAACCACGAGTATTTACAAACAAAACTGTACTGTATAAATAATCACGCCTGGAGTACAAATTCTCCCACGTGATCCCGGGTATCTATTTGTATATATTTGTTAACATTAACTACACAGGCAAATAAAATAAATAGTTTTAGGGCCCAAAGACGTGATGCATGCTTCTCTCTGTAAGTCGATGCGCTGAATCTGAATCTGAAGCAATAATTGTGCCATCACCCCCAGTTTTTTAGTCGCGAAAAACCACCTTGATATTGTATTTTTTTGTTTTCGGGGTTTCTTGTCAGACCCAAAGACTTGACACATGTTTCTCCATATATGTTGACGCAGTTAAGCCGATTCTGAAGCCAGAATTGCGCCACCACCCTCCAGTTTTTTTAATGGTCAAAAACCGCCGTGAAATTGTAAATTTCATTGTTTTTTCGCAAATTAAAAAAACTGGACGATGTTGGCGTAATTCTGGCTGCGGATTCAGCACGTCGACACACATAACGAAAGATGTGTCAAGTCTTGGGTTTGACAACAACCACCGAACAAAAATACAATGTCACGGTGGTTTTTAGCGAATGAAACAAAATGCAGGGTGATGGCGCAATTCTAGCTTCAGATTCAGAGAACCGCAACATTTGTGAAAGAACTTGGCTAAACTTGCAGGTCATTCAAAAGACTGGGAAGACATTGCTTTGTTTGGAACACCCTTCATTTTCCGCAAAGTGTAGTAGGGGCGGCGATAGTACTTAGATCTGCTCCTTAGGAAGCTGGTTGCACCTACAATTCCAGCGCATGACACATTATTCTAGTGCCAACTGAGTGTAAAAGCAATTTAGCAAAAAATATTCATATTTTCCAATAATTGAACATGCCATTAATTGTAGATGTTTTTGATGAAAACATTTCATTAGGAAAACATGTGTCTTCAGAATTTTAGTTGTAGTAAGACGCCGACACGTTTTTGAATTTTTGCAATTTTTAAAAATTAGAATTTTCAATGAACATGAGATTTTTACCTTTGTCTTAAATGACCTATACGCTATCGAATGTCAAAATTTGATAAAAAACAATGGAGCCGTTTTCAAGAAAAAATGTTGAAACAAAAATAAATTTGTGCTCCGATGGAAGGGCCAGACACCGAGGCATACAGGACTGCGAGGACTGCGATGTCGGAGAGGATACAAAAGAGAAACCTAATAAACAAAGAATTCTATTCCTCGGATCCCATGATGGAAGCTGGATGGGCCCAAACAGGAAATGCGTCATGTCTATGTCATGACTGGTGATCCACGGCATCCATCCCCAGCTGTGCAAGAGGGAACACTTCCACAAAGCCGACAGTGAATGCGTGTGCAAACTGTGAAAAAACATGTCCAAGATACCATTAAACATCCTGCCGAAAATAAGACAAAACTCTGAGAGTTTAGTGATAACAGGCTTGTGAAACGAGGCATAATAAGTACTACGTAACTTACAGACTTTACAATCAACTGACCCATAACAACTTTAGTCGTAAATTAGAGGAATAATAATATTTACTTAAATGTTGTTCAGTCCATTTTCTAATTTAGGATAACCACAGCTTTTTACATCATAATTTTATTTTAGTTGGGTTTAAAATTATGATGCAAAAATGTTTGGAAGTATTTATTGTGGTTGTCCTAATTTGAAAACGGGACTCAACATTTAAATAGAATATGTGACAACCAGTCTAAAACTTACGTATTATTATTATTATTATTATTATTATTATTATTATTATTATTATTATTATTATTATTATTATTATTATTATTATTATTATTATTATTATTATATTACTAATAATTTATTATTATCAGCCGAATGTGTGGCGTAAAAGCAGAGGACGTACCGATAGTCATTAGAGCTCTAGCATTTGTTCCACAAAATTTGCGTAAGAATTTGATTAAACTCCCGGGTCATTCAAAAGTCTAGGAAGTGCACAAAATTGCTTTATTTGGAACAGCCCACGTTTTGCGCAAAGTATTGTAAAGGCAACGTCAGTCGTGGTATAGAGGAAAATGATAATAATAATAATAATAATAATAATAATAATAATAATAATAATAATAATAATAATAATAATGTCTCAGAATTCATAGTGATGATCTGCATATTTTTAAATTTGACCAAATTAAAAGGAAGAGTCTCTAATGCATTTTCAGCTCATTTCTCCCAATCCACTATAGTACGATTCACAAACGGGTATTTGCCTATATCAGTATTTTGCTTTCTATATCATATTTTCCAAGGATGGTCTACTCTGCTTTTATAATCTTATTTCTGTAATTTTTACCTACATATGTCTAAGTTGTGTCCCCTCTGTATGCCTTGTACAATACACATAAACGCGCCCGTTCTCTTTTCTTAGCTAAGGAATCCCTCTAAGGCTTCATCTCAAATTTAAAAAATTGTTAAAAAAAGATTTTCTCAAAAACGGCTCCAAATTTTTCTTTAAAATGTTTGTTGGGATAGTGCTAAATGCACTTAATAATGACATAAATGCCTTATGACTATATTGTTTTGTTTTTTCAAAAATTTAATTTTTTACTTGTCTCTTACGTCGTTAAGTCACATTAGTGGCAATTTGTTCATATTATTGTATTCATAAGTACATGTGCTTTAAATAATGACATATAATAGTTTCTCGAAAACTCATCAGTTTTCTGTTAAAATGATTTCAAATCTTCGCATTGTTAGAAACGCTCAAACACTATTTTCTCAAAAATGGCTCCAATTTTTTTCTTCACACTTTTCTAATGGGTAGTGCTAATTGCACCGTTAAAAATGTCATACAGTTTATTCTGCCAAATTCTTTTTCTTTTTTTTCAAAATTACACAAACGTATATTTTTAAATATCTTTCACACCGTTAATTTCCACATGTCCAGCGATTTGTAAATACTATTGCATTTGCGAGTTAAGGTTTCTGAAATGTGAAAAAGAGCTTCAAATAACGCACATACAGAAACGCTTAAACGCCATTTTCTTGCAAACATCTCCATATTTATCAATGAAAATTGCCATTCATGACGAGGTTTTACTCTTCTTTAATACTCTTAAAGTATTATTTCGGTTCTACTATTATAAAAATGAAAAATTGAGAAAATTTCAAAAAATGTACTTTGGGCGGCGATAGATGGCAGCTGGCAAGAGGATGGAGCAAAACCGAAAAGCCAGTCCACACAGAAAATTAAAAAAAAAAAAAAAAAAAAATTACTACGAGAAAGTCTGTACCGTTCTGTGGCATCACTAGTTCTCCATTGTGATATCAGTTATAGGAGAAGTGTTAAATTTATATTCTACAAATATGTCGCCACCTATTGCAAGAGACACGTACTACGTATCACTATATAACCAATTTCACGTTATATAGTCACGTGCTTTTCAGTCATGGAGTTACAGGCGTGTTCTATGCTATTGAACAGAAAGGTTTCAATAAATCCTTGCATATCATTAGTTCTTTGGATAAGTTATTCGATATAACCTCACCAGATACATTTGAGGCAAAAATTGCGCGTGCGCAGATTTCATGAAAAAAAATTCATACTTTTAGTTCTTTAAGTAAAGGTACTTCTTAAATTATCTCTATAGTTAAACAGAAAAGATGCAATACTCACCTAAAGCGACCTTCTTCCATAACTTTACATGTTCCTCCATTTCGACACGGGTTACCGAAGCACGCATCAATCATATGTTGACAACTCTGCCCGTGGAAGCCAGGTGCACATCGACAAACATACTTTCTTTGCGGGAGTGCTTCACAAGTGCCACTATTGGCACATGGAAATGAAAAGCATGCATTGCATTTGGAGAGAATTTCGTAACTGATATGTCCTACAAAATAAAAATCAATACTTAATATAAACTAATTCATTCAAAAAACAATGATATTATTTTTAGTACTCATATTAAATTCTTTTGTAGTAGACAAAAATGTAAGTTCGAAACAAAGAAGCGAAAGAATGAAAAAAATATTATTATTATTATTATTATTATTATTATTATTATTATTATTAGTTCAATCCGAGAAGGGACAATCATCTTAATCCGGGTCAGTTTAACCAAAGGCTGTAGTCTTCATTTCTACATCTTTTTCACCTCGTGATCTCCCAGGGTTATGCACGTATTCACGTATCACGGAATGCTAATAGTTGTAGTATCGGTGTAGGATCACGGTTCAAACCCAAGATGTTGTCTAGAAAGGAACGAAATCAAATGCAAATTGGGGATTTCGCCTGTAGCACCAATAACAACAGGCCCCATTATTATTCTCATATCCCACATGGATTTTATTTCTTCTGCCAATGGCAGGTACTTGTTAATTTTTTCCAAGTATGTTTTCGTCAGATTGGTTGGTAGAGGAACAGCTATAGCGATGGTGTAAGTTCTCTCTGTATTTAAAGGCAGTAAAATATGAGGAATGTTGTTCGGAATTGGTTTCTCTGTTAGTATTGAGCGGATCCAGTAAGGTTTGCAGTTATTGTCGTCTCATATTTATTAAGAGAAGTACGGAACGTGATTCTCATCTCAATTCTTTTGACTGAGAGCCTGTGAATAATTCTGCCTGTCCAAATACTGTTTCCATTACAGGTTATGTGATCTATTCTCACTTCCTTTGGTCACATATTCTGCAGCTAGTGTTTTGTAAGTTTTCATATATGATGCTCTCTTAATTTCTTGGAGTGAAATTCAATTCGATTTCGTGAATGTTCACTCATCCTTCGAGCCAGAATTGAATCTCGGGAAACTAGTGGATTTCGCTAGTTTTTTGGAGTTAAATAAATCACTCCGCGTTAGATGGTCCGCTCCCTCGATTTGAATGACTTCGACGACCGCTCTTAGCTAGATTTTCACACAATATCGAGCATTCCCGGCTTCCATTTATAGTGAGTTTCTCACCTCAAACGAAAATTGTCAAAATAATATTTCAGGAAAATGGTATGGGAAATACACAATAATTTAAAAACCGAAACTATGACATTGTAGAAGAATTGTCTTTTAACTGGCAATATATAACAGGAAAACAATTATACTTGTATCTCAAAATTATCATCTGGTAACGTAAGAAACAGCAAGGGGATAAATAAATACACGGGAGGTTACGGGTTCTAGTATTCCCTTTGAATAGTTCTTCTTTTCTAAATAAAGCTCTGAAAAATCCTAGTATGTATGGACGAAACGACAACCAATTAAATCAGTTTTCTTAAAATAAGTAATACATCTGTTCTCAATCCACCAGGCCATTCTGCTCACCTAATTATAAAATATAGGATCAACCAAATAATAATAGCTTTTCTTGGAGGTGTTACTGGCGGTGGGCGAGTAGGATGTTCCAGAAGCAATGGTCATAAGGTCTCCCTCTCCAATATTTCCCGACTGATTAATGCACAGAATTGTTAAAATTGTTTAAGAACATTGTACCAACAACCAATCCCAAATATTTGGATTTCCGTCGAATAATTATAAGCTTAAAAACTTAAAATCACTAGTAAAGAAAGAATGATTCGAAAACTTGTTCTTTCCATTCCAGGAAACCGATTAAATTTTTTTTTCGGACGCGCCATCCACATGTGAGGGACAACACGCCATGAGGGCGAGGCGCGCAGCCGTCCCGAAATCGAGCTGAGGTCACCGTCACATCTGCTGCCGGCGGCAGGTCGACCCACGCGGCAGGCCCAGAGAATTTGCGAAGAAAATTAATATTTATATTAATAATCAATTTTCAAAATAATGCTTTAATTTATCATTTATTGCTTTATATTACTTTTCACTTTGACCCTTCTAAACATAGTCTCTCAGTTACAATAGTTTAATTAGGCAACATTCGGAACGAGACATTTATCATCAATTTTATCAATCTACCCAGAAATGAGGAAATTGTAATCGTACCATCTTTACTAGAAATGAAAATCCAATCGCCGAGTTTTCAGATACACAGATTCCTGCATCACTAATTCAGTGAAGATTTTGGTTTCACGGATATGTTGCTTCCCTACAAGTAGGGAGACTGGGGCACCATCAGCCACAAAAAATGAAACATTCAGAAATCCCTTACATTGAAGATGAACATTTTCATTTTATTTGTGCAACTAAAGAAATTTATATTTTAACATTGCATTGCTATTGCCACCAAATAATTAATGGTGGAGAAAAATGTAGAAAAATCGTTTTCTAATGGATGATCCACCGTGCAGCATGCCTGGGGCACCTGAGTAAGTGTCTGGGGTACAATGAGTCATTCATAACAATTTCAGCACATCGAAATTTCCCCTTTTTCATCACTGAGAAACCACTATCATTTTTAAAACATTTTACAAGCACAAACTCATTGTGCTCACAGAAATGAACTCCACGAAAAATTACGATAGGGGGGCAAATAATTGCCATCAGCGCGTACTATAACATGAGTTTTCTTCTCAGCATTTTCCATTTGATATAGTTTTGCCACCTTTCTCGGCAATTACCTTTCTGCTGTTTCATCTAAATTCAAGACGCATGAAGGATTACCTAGTCTAGGTTCTCGCTTTAACAACAGAGAATTGTTAACGCATTGTTGAGAAACGCTTGCACGTTTTGTCGATTGAATGCCGTGTCACGAGCAAGACTACACCCATCTGGAGACCTTCGGCACAAATCTTTATTTCTTTTAAAACATTCTGCAAACCGGCAATTTCTTTTTCTAATCATGAATTTGGATATTTAACATTATTTGCAATAGCAGCTTGACAGGCGAGTGTGGGGATTTTTTGTGACAAACCATAAAACATTTTTCTGCCAGCAATCACTTCCTCTTGGGCGTAAGTAAAATCTTGTTTATGGCCGTGGTTTGATTTGAGTTCAACTTTTGCACCAAAAAGTGATTTTATCATATTGTCTCCCTCTTGCTATCACATTCACCAGCTGCACTTCTTATACTTCTATCTTCTGCAACCAAATTAATTGCTCTCTTCAGATACAGGTGTCCGGGGAGGAAACGTCGAAACTTGGAAAATAAGCTCGTAAGACAATTTTTTATAAATAAACTTTTAAGCAATTTTTTCTAAGAAACAACTTTGATATTCTGAATGGCAAAGCCGCTCTAAGCACTCAAAAGTTGGTTTGAGAAATGCTTTCCAGGCAAAAATTTGCATTGCAGAAGCATAGAAACACGCCAGAAACATTTAAATGTTTTTTATTTACAAAAAAATATGAATATATCTGCCAGTAGAAAAGGGTTGTAACTCAAAAAAGTTGAATTTTTAGTTGCATACATTATTCAAAGTAAAATGTTATGCTCTTTCATCCTAGAAAGGTATAATTTCTTTTTATGACAATCATTATGGACGATGTTTCAGTTTACTATATTGTAAACTTTATGAAATTTGAATTAGAGTGTAGTATAACCTGTTACGCTAGTTTTCTACAGCGAATTAATGCCTAATGGATGTTCATAGGGGTGGTGTATACTAGTTATACTAATTTTCTATGCCGATTTACTGATTAATGCAAGTTTATAACTTGGATTTCAGTTTTCTTCCAGTCATATTAGCTAGATTTATTTTCATTGTTGTCCGCAAATCGGTCGAAGAAATAGCTTGTCCATTCCTGATCATTTTTAAGCAGTGTTAGGCATAGTCGTGTCTTGGCATTACATAGTGTAAAATGAATGGGTTTTATTCAAGAGGAAACTATTTGGTTCACCTCGCTACAGAAAGTGTTAATTCTTCTGAAAATCATCAAGGTTGATACGAAAAGTAAATTTGTGAGTTTCTACCGAAAAATATTTCGTTATTTCATATGTATATGCAATTTGGTGTAGATTTGTATACTTTCCTTTCAATTGGAGGCTTTTCAGCAGAACTCGATTATCCGCGATTGCTATGTCACCTTATTATGCGGACAATTAGGAGTTTACTGTACAGTACAATTTGACATTGTAACATTCACACAGTAAATTCCGTTCAATTTCTGCACAAAATTGTCGTAAGTATAAATGCGTTGTATTCTGAAGCCGCTTTTTCCAAATTTCCCAATAGAACACTGTTGTATGTTTGAAAAACATTTTTTCTAAAAAAATATACATCGTTTTCACATATAAATATAAAAATCATAATCTTCCAAAACAAAACAACAGATTCTCCTACTTGAACTTCATTCGATAATCTATACCTTGTCAATTTCAAAATGAGACCAAATAATTTGAAAGTGGGTACTAACATACTCAAAGTGAGAATAAAAATGAGCAGATTGGAATTAAACACATTTTTCAGGACATAGAGGAAAATCCCAGAATTACATGAAAAGAACCGAATCGTGAATTTGAAGATCAGCATCAAGTTATTGTTTCTACCGAATGTTTGCGTCAACAAAAAACAAAATAGAATATTGAAATAAAGAGTAATTTTGCAGCCGAAACTTCACGTCACTGATAATTTCATAACAAATTACGAGGTGTTTGGTTTTGATTAGGATTAAAGGAATATAAAACAGAATATTTCCTAACAAATTTAAATTATCACCATCCGAATATTCGTATGAGCGGTGTTTTCTAGCCCACGAGAAGGACGACGAGAATACCCTTAGATAATGTAAGTATGCCAAGGCCCAAAACCTTGATAAAATTATTAAAACTACATAAAATAATATTGAAACAAGTACACGTTGCCAGTATTTTACTTCGAACGGGAAAGATCAGTAAACCCTCCACGCTTCCTTGGACAATGAAGTCAGAACATTGTCACTTGTATAATACGTTTTGTCACACTGTAACATTTAATCGTGATCAGTTTAGCTAACCTAAACATCCTGGGTTTCAGCAAACATTCAATGGCTCATCGAACCCCATGGCCCATGGT